TTCATTAACCAGAGTAAGTTTGCAGAAGACCCTCTTGGACCTAGTTCCAGTGTCCCAGCACCCTGGACTCACACAGTGATGATGGGTGTTTCCATTGGCATTGTTCATTAACTGTCAGTTAAATACTTGGTACTCTGAACCCAACTAGTTGGGTCCATATCTTAGTTCCAGCACTCATGAGATAAATGACTTGGGGCTAATCTCTTCTTTCTCTGACACAGTTTTCCTCAGCTGTAATGCGCTTACTAGGAAGGGTTATTTGAGCGTTTAGGAGTGAACTGACATACAGCTGGTATATGTTTTTCTTTTCTAAAGATTTTATTTTTATTTAAGTGTACGTGCATGCGTGCGTGCATGTGTGTGCGTGCATGCGTGCCTGTGTGTGTGTGTGTGTGTGTGTGTGTGTGTGTGTATGCCTGCACAGGCCAGAATTGAGTGTTAGATTAGCTGGAACTGGAGTTACATGTGTTTGTGAGCCACCTGAAGTACCTGCTGGGAATCAAACTCAAGTCCTCTGCAGAAAACCAGCAATCACTCCTTTTTGTTTCTGTTTCTTTTTAAAAATTGAATTAATGAATCCATTTATTTTACATACCAACCAAAATTTCCCCTCCCCTTTTTCCTTCTGTTCTTTACTCCCAGCTCCCCTTTGCCCCCACTCAATCCACTCCTCCATTTCTGTTCAGAAAGGGGCAAGCCTCCCATGGGTTTCAGCAAAGCATGGTATATCAAGTTGCCGTAAGAGTAAGCATTAGGGATAGCTCTAATAGACACAACTGTCACATATATGTAGAGGGCTTAGGTCAGTCCCATTCAGGCTCCCTGTTTTAATTTCAGACTCAGTGAGCTCCTATGTACCAGGTTAGGTGTGGCTTTTCTGTGGTGTTCTTCATGCCCTCTGAATCGTACAATTCTTACTCCCCCTTTTCTGCAGGATTCCCCAAGCTCAGCTTAATTAGCTGTGGGTCTCTGTATCTGTTTCCAACAGTCACTGGGTGAAAGCTCTTTTTTGACAATTGGGGTAGTCGCAAACCTGGTCATAAGAGATGGCCAGTTCAGGCTACAGATCTGCTATTGCTAACCCTGGGGTCATCCTTGTAGATTTGTGGATGTTCCCTTTGTATCAGGATTCTACCTGACCCTGAAAAGTCCTTCTTTCCAGTCATTTCTTTCAGGACTCTCCCCATCTTCCTACCTCCAAACAAGATCCCTCAAGTCCCCATGTCTACTCTCCTCCAGTCCACAGGGGAGATCTCTTCTATTTCCCTTCCCAGGGAAATCCATGAGTCTCTCTTTGGATCCTCCTTGTTACCTAGTCTCTCTGATCTATAGATTGTTCCATGGTTATTCTTTACTTTACAGCTAATATCTACTTATGAGTGAGTAGATACCATGTTTGCATTTCTGGGTCTGGGTTAGCTCTCTCAGTATGACTTCTATTTTGCCAGTGTCATTGTTTTTAACAGCCAAATAACACTCCATTGTGTAAATGTACCATGTTCTCTTTACCCATTTTTTAGTTGAAGGCCATCTCGGTTGTTTCCAGGTTCTGGTTACTAAAAACAAAGCTGCTATGAACACAGTTGAGTAAGTGTCCTTGTGATAAGATCGGGCATCCTTTGGGTATCTGGCCAAGAGTGGTATCACTGGGTCTTGAGGTAGATTGATTCCCAATTTTCTGAGAAGCCACCATATTGATTTCCAAAATGGCTGTACAAGATTCCTTTCCCACCAGCAGTGGAGAAGCAGTCCCCTTGCTTCACATTCTCTCCAGAATAAGCTGTCATCAGCGATTTTGATCTTAGCCATTCTGACAGGTATAAGATGGAATCTCAGAGTCATTTTGATTTGCATTTCTCAGATGGCCAAGGATGATGAACATTTCTTTTAGTGTTTCTCTGTCATTTGAGTCTTCTGCTGAGAATTCTCTGTTGAGATCTGTACCCATTTTTTAATTGGATTTTTTTTTGTTTAGTTTCTTGAGTTCTCTTAATTTCTGAGCCAATTCTCCAGCCCAGAATGTATTCTTAAACTGTTATCACTCATGTGATTATGAAGTATTTTGAGCATCACTTGTCTTTTAGTGTCACACTAAGTACTGATGCTGGCCGAGAGCCAGGGCTACAGCCATCTAGTTGTACCCAGAAGCATAGTAGAGTCAGTCATAGAATCTCCAGTTGTGAGAGAGCTGGGAAACATTTCTCCTTTATCCGTTAATCAGTTCCCAACATTTAAAAATCATGAAAAGTGAAATGGAAAGAAATCCATGTTTTTCAGCAAGATGGGGGCAGGAGAGATGGGGAAGGCAGCAGATGGGGAAGGTGGACACGAGGAAGATACATAAGCATCAAGACAAAGCTGAGTGTTTTCTATACTAGATAAAAATACTAACTGGATCTTTGTTTCTGGAATGCTTTGGCAAAGTGTAGGATTGACAGTTCTGGGGCAATACTTTGACAGGCATTGGGCAGACGGAGCCAGTGTCAGCTCCTTCCTAGAGGGAACATCTGCCTTGGTTCAGTCCCGGTCCGCTGGTTTTGTCTGTTACTGTGGCGCTGGAGTTTGCTGTCCCTGACCTAAGAACACTTCATTCTTCACATTATGAAAGTTTTCAACTGCTATGAAAACACTTTAATGCCTGGACTGCATTGCAAGTGCATGTGGATCATGTTTCATTTTTTCATCTGTGATTTTGCCTTATCCATAGCAGGGTGAATCACTGCTGTGTGACGTGAACTAAGGAGGCTTCAACTGTTACACAGGAAAAAAAAATATTTAAAAATATCCCTGAAAGAGAATATACAATGAGGAAATAAAGTATGTTTTATGAATTCAGTAGGTATATCATGTAAAAGAAATAGAATTTGATTTAGGTCAAGTGTCAGGCTGTGATATAGAGGAAAGCACCCCAAATACAGTGGCTTACGTTTTAATTCTTACTTGTTCATCATAACAACCTTGGAAAAAACCACCTAATCCTTGTATGCTTGCAATAATGATAATAATTAATGTTCTTCTGGTCCTATTGTAAGAACTATGTAGGTTGGTAGTTTTTTTTTCCCCCACCAAATCATCATCCATACTGTAGCTGAGCATACATTTAAGATTACTAACAAAAACATTCTACTGGAGTGGGACAGACTCAGGATCCAGTACAATTATCCCAGCTATTATAGCAACATCTATAGTCTGATCAACTTAGCATAGAGGAGAAAACGCAAAAGAGAATAAAATGTGTTCTTTACTAGGACCAACTTCTCTCCTATGCAATAGAAGCATCTTGACTATGATGCGTGCACTTCAGTGTTCTGGGATTCTTACAGCTGCATTTTTCAAGTTAGTAGTACCTCAGTAAAGTACTCTTGCTTTAGTCACAAGATCTTCTCTCTTGGTTGGCTCATATGAGGTTAGAAGATTATCTTGGGCCTTGGGCTTTGAAGAAGGAGAATGGAATATGGAAACATGAGAAGTCTCTGGGAACTTCTCCTCCCATGGATTGCTGTGGCCTTCGACATTTATAAACCGGAGGACCCTTACCGCAAGTGTTATGCCAGGAATTTGTATGACAAAGAGCTTCATTTAGCATGATGTGACACTCTTGTTTACTCAGGTGATGTTGGAGTTCGAAGCTGCATGTGTCTTAACCTTTGTCTCATGTAATTCCTTCAATCTATGAATTGAGGGAATTCCTGAGGAGTTTGGACTAAGACAAATGTCAGCCAGATCAGAGTCCAGTGATGCTTGTACACCTTTCCAAACAGCACTTCTGTAAGTATCTATGTCCATGCAAAGGCATTCCAAAATAAAATAGCATATTTCTGGCTACGCAATTTTGGAAATAACATGTTCAACATCACTGCTTAACCTTATAAGAAACATACTGGGAAATTTGTGCAAATATTTGAGTGAAGTCTTAAAGTACTAGGAAAAATAAATTATCCCAATACATCCTATAAAATCAAATGTGAGATTATCTGAAGTGAAAAGTCTACAGTTTTCTGATAAGTCACAAAATTACAAGAAAAGACTTGTAGCACCCGTGCTATAATCTGTTCTACTAATCGGGAGAAGGACTAAAGATTTAAATAAAAGACAAGACAGCCGGTCATTCGTTCAACCGGAATGCTGAATGCTGTTTATCGAGGGGAAGGATCAGGCTTATAGACTGACTCACAGCACAGTGGGAAACAATTAAGGGTCAAGCCTGCAAGTTCTAGGGCTTAGTTCCTCCCCAGGAGGTGTGTGTTAGCAAATCAAGAAGAGTACCAAGAACTGCTCTGATGCAAGATGTTCCAGCTAAAACTGCAGAATGTTCCAGCCAACAGGTCAGGCTTGCTCAAGGTGCCTCGGGGGTCCATGTAGCGTCCTACAAAGACTATCAATAAAACTCATTACTTTGTATGCTAACCTAAAATTAATAAAATGAAAACACTGTTTCCTGAAATATATTCTCATCTGACAACAATAAGCATAATGCATCATAGCTACATATCACCAGAGAAAATCCCTCTTTCGTTTTCAGAGACTGAATTGGTTTTATGATAAATTGGTGTAGCTCTGCCTACAACTGCTCTGGATCTGTATTCCTGTGACTTTCCCGCGGGTATTGACTTTTTCAGAACCGGCCCTTAAGAAAAGACCAACAGCTCAAAACATTCAGAATAGTCTTTGCCTTGCCTTTGTCACTTTCTTCTCCCTTCAAGCCAAAATTTGAACTTTGCAAACACACGCACACACGCGTGCGCGCGCGCGCGCGCGCACGCACGCACGCACTCATGCAGCTACAATTCTCTTTTTCAGTGACCACTTTCATATCCCATGCTTGACTCTTCCTACTGCCAGCAATGGGGTACCCTCCTCAACTTTACTCACTGCCTAACTCCCCGCTTGAAAATCCTTGTATTTTGATTTTTTTTGATCAAGCTGTGAAACAATCTGAGTTTAATACATTCAAATCAGTCACAAGAACAGAGGGGCAACAATGGGGGTGAATTACGTACATGTATGAAAATGTCGCGGTGAGGCGCATTTGTATGCTCTAGTGAAAACTTTTTTAAAAGTAAAGTTTCAAAGAAGGCACAAGTGAACGAAACTCGTTTTTGAATCAAAGTAAATACTGAGCCAAAAAGCGTGAGTGAGGGCGAGGGAAAAAGAGGAGACGCCAAGTCTCAGGTCCTCATGCTTTAGGTAAAAAAAGATCGGGAAACAGAGTTAATAAATACAAAACTTTTTTTTTAAAAATAGGTTTTTATCAATTATTGGGGATTAAACAATTTAAAACAGTCTGAGGCAAAAATAGAAACATCGAATAGTCAGACAAGAGCTTAAATTAAGAATTTTCTATAGGAACACCTCAAAGGCAGTAGAGAAAGTTAAGCCTCTTTGAGTCATAAAAGGGGAAGGAAGTGAGAGGTTTTTTCCTCTGAAGAATGCCCTGTGCTCAACTTAAACCTAACTGTCCAACTGCCACCCAAATCCAGCTGCTTGCATAGTATGCTATGTGGGTCTTTGTTTACTAATTATGACAGGACACAACAAAAGACGAAGGTAAAGAAACAGAAGGCAGCAGAATGCACCTGAGAAGGACAAGGAAAAAAGTCACCAAACCACATCTTTGTTCAACGGATGTCGGCGAAATCACCATGGCCAATCCCAACGGTATGTGGCTACTGTGACCTTTCAGGAGTGGCGTGGAAAGTGGCAGTTTCTATTTCATGTCCCTTCCCATAAAACACTTCTTCTCTTCTTCTGCAGAAGTGAAAGGACAGCAAGATGCAAAGTAATGTCACACGAAGTCTGGCAAATATAAGTTTACATTAGTATATACAAATAGCCAATCAAAGCATTTAGAATTCAAGGGAAGGGTATAGGATGCTGGTGGGGGATGGGATATGCAAAGCAGAGCGGGAGAGAAACTTTCTTCTGCACTGGGAATGAATGTGAGAACTATGAAGAGTTTTTATCCACATGCTGAAATTCCAACAATACTCTAACAGATCTGAAATAATGCTGAGTGGGGGTCGGTATAAACAAGGTCGCTCCTGGTGTCAAAAAGAACAGGCAAAAGGAATTGTTAGCCCATGGTAACAATAAAAAGCAGGCTTTAACAGGTTTTATTATTGTTTTAATTTTTTTATTACAGATAATATACTTCCCTACAGCCTGCATCTTATTTGGTGTGTCACTGTATAGGAAAGGGTAATCTTTCTGGCATTTCTCTCCAAACTGTGTTAAAGATGGTTGGAACCAATTCTAATGTGATTTGACGTTTCCCATTATCACTATAGAAAGGTCTGGAAACCAAACAGCAGATCTGAACAAACCTGGCTCTTCTGAGTCTTGTTCTTCCCACAATGACAAAGATGTCCAGTATCAGATGCCTGTGGTAAAATCATCACTTCCCAGCACTCCAGCAGATGCTACCGATGCTGAATTCAACCCCAATGCTGGTAAGCAATCACCTGGAAAGATTTTGGAGGAAAGAGGAAAGTCTTTCCAGCCACTGTTTCCAACTCTGCCTTTGAACTAGAGATGGTGTGCTGATGGTGAAGATGTCAGGACAAGAAACTTTCTACACCTGTGTTTATAGAGCTCTTTGCAGCTTTGTTACTCTTCATGCTACAGATCTAGCAAATTGAGGCATTCTCATGGGAGAGCACTCTACTCTTCTTTGGATATGGAATTCTGTCATTCAAAGTCTCTGAATTTCTGAATAATTATTCTGGTATATGAGTGTATTGGTTAATAGCCTCTTAGATACAACAGATAGAAACTGGTGAAGAAAGGTATTTGTTGTATGAGCAAAACTATAAAGAGAAGGTTAAATATAGGGTTTGGAAAAGTGGGACTATAATGGGATACAAAGTTTGGGAAATGGGGTGTAACACATTGTCCTCACTTCTGATAACAGTTACCAGCTGTAGAGTTTTTCATGATTAATTCTAGGGTTCTCTAAGCTTGTCTGCTAAGAGGATGGACAGAAGTCATGAAAACTGTTAATGCTTCCAGCCACACATTTTTTTTTTTAAAATATATACTATAGTAACTTTTATAGTGTAAAGGACTAAAACAACCTGTGGCATTAACTCTAGGTACTAAACATGGTTACTGGCTTGTTCTCTCCTGGTGGGAGTACTGTGTTTTTCTGGCTAGGGAAGCTTATTTTGGTATTTGTACCCAGGGACTTTACTGGAACATGGTGCACTTGCTATATAACTGGACTGTTTCTTGTCCCTCTGGGGTTTAAGTTGGGCTGTGTACAATGCCAACATCACAAAAGACACTGTTTGACTTCCTGGCATGATTCACAAACAGCCTCTAGATAAATACACACATTCACGACAGGAGGATCCTTCTAGGAACTGTGAAGAGTTCCCAGGGCACAGTTTAGACCTCTCTCCTCTCCTTGTTTATTACACACACAGGACCCGAGAGTAAATGAGCGCTACCTATGAGGGTCCGTCTTCATTAGCTTCCTTTGTTGGCATCACTCATCACACAAACAGCATTATAAAAACCATAGACTCGCGTCCAAGTGCATTCAGTATGTGGAGAGAACCCAGGTCCTTGTTAGGTTGCATCCCTGTAAAACGATGGTTCCTTCTCAGAAGCCTTTCCCTGGTTTCCCCATCTGAGGAGAAGCAATGTCCTGGATGCTTCTTCTGCTTGGAATTGGTGCGACTTTCCCTTTGTCCCCACCTCTAATTTACCTCCAGCTGGAGAAAGTCCGTGGGCTTCTAAGAGCTAGCCTTGGTAGTGCTAGACATACTTCCCATTTTAAGGACAATAACCCTTGGCCATGGGAATTCCCACGCCTCCCGTTCTCCGTGCCTTGTTTCGTGAACTTCACAGAGTGAGGAGCACTCATTTTGACAGCTGTGAATACTAGGAGCAGACATTACAAGTGAGAACAGTGCAACAAAGTACGGCCCGCTGGCTAGATTCAGCTTGATGGATGCTCTTTGCAAGTATGTGCTGCTTGCGGCTGCTTTTGTACTAACGTGGACGCTTGGTAGCTGCCTGTTACCCCATGAGCACTATCCCGCACCACTCAGGCTATGCCAAGACTCCAGCCATTGGGACTGTAGAGAAGTGTCCAAGCCTCACCAGATTTTGTTTAAGGAAAGTTTGAACTCAAAACTCTTATTGCATAAAGTGTCCTAATAAGTAAATATTTCCAATAAATTTAAATAGGGCTCTAACGCTGTGAAGACTTAACAGAGCGTGGTGGCCATGTTGCCTTTATGATGCATGTTTTGTATGCTTTTGCGTAGTTTGACTTAAATACTCTAGTTTCAGACAGAGAAATAAAGATGGAATTTAGGCATCTTAATCTCAAATCAAAAAGCCATCGTCCCCTGCAGTCTCTCTGTACCCAGTGACTAAGGGTGTGGGTACCATTATTGAGTAGGCCGGATTAAGCACTTACTGCCTATAATTCCAAGCAAACCACCAATGCATCATATAAAAGTAAAAGGTGAGAACCAATCCCTCAGATAAGTACAAGCAATTTTGTTAAGTGTTTTCCAACTACTTTGAAACCTTTCTAAAAATAGCATAGTTTTCAAAGCTCAGCTCCTTTGCTCCCACGCGTTTACCATTTATTTATTTATTTGTTTTGCACCTGGTTATTGTGCCACCCCAACTCTGCAGCACGGTCTATAGCTGATACTGTGCCTCGAGGACGGGGCGTACTTACACTAACTGGGTATTCTCACAGCCCCCATGCATATCACATCCACATGAACGAAGGCCCATGGACCCCAGATAGGGAGGGCGGGATCCCTGGAACAAGCTGCCTGTGTTGCAGAGAGCATTTTCACAGGCATTTGCTCACATTTTGAATTTGCATTTCTGTCTTGTTTAAATAAACAGTATCTATTTATGATGATGATGATGACGATGATGATGTGTGTAACTGCCAGTTCACATAAGTCATGGAACGCAGGTAGAGGTCAGAGGACAGCTTTTGGGAGGCAGTTTTCTCCTTCCATCCTGGGGCAGAGGTTTCAGACTCGCGTCATCATGCTGTGTGCTGTAGGCACCTTTACCCACCTAGCCAGCCCTGGATTCAGTACTTCTGGAAGCCCACATTCCTGTCCAGCCCATCTCTTATAGGGACGGGGCCTTTCTTGGGAAGTGAATATGTTCTCGTTGTTTCAGGATGCGGATGACACCTCCCCAGGCCTTCTAGATGCTCTTGAGCACTGAGGTTCCCTTTCTTTAATGTTTTCTTATTTTCCTTCTAAGAAGAGCACTGAAACGTCTCCTGTAAAAGCACATTGATTTAATTTATTAGTTCTCGGAGGGGATAGGATAGGAGAACGCCTCCCAGAAATCACACTGGAAGAAAAACAAATGAGCCCCTGAACTGGTAATTAGCTGCCTGCTATTCATCATGTACAGCTGGGGAAGACTGACCGAAAGGCTTAATTGGAAGTAACAAATATGATTTATCTGAAGGGAAGAAATTCAGACTATGATGCAGCAAGATGAGTTGATGCTTTGAAAGTGAAATTAGGTTAGCTAGGGCTTTCCTATTTGGTAAAAGAATTGAATTTTTAAATGAAAAAAAAATTGATACTAAGGGCATACATTTTAAAATAGATGATATCAATTTTTACTTAATGATTAGACAAGGTCATATCATACAGGATATATTAATTTATTCATTCACACATACACTTATCCACTAGAGGCATATTTACTGGATGCCTGTTATGATCAATATCTCTCTAGGTATTGAAGCTATGGCAGCAGGCAGAACTGAGTCCCACTCACATGGGCTGATATGCAAAAGAATGACAGATAGAGAGCAAACAGGTGACTCTGAAACATAGCAAGCACATAGCAATAAGGACACTGAAGAATATGGAAAGAGTAATAATACAACTAGCTGAAATTTATCTCTCCAAAATTCACATAGTTCTAGCCCTCAGCATCTTAGGGGTCAGGATCTTCATACAAGCAATTAAGGTCAAATGTACCCAGGAGGATGGGCCCTAATCCAGTGTAACTGGTATACTCATAAGGAGATATTAAGACTTGAACAGAGAGCAGACCTCTAGGAGATATTGGAAGAAGATCATGAATTCAAAGCCTCTGAAGGAACATCCCTTCTACCCTTGCTACCTTTGATCTGGGACTTTCAGCCATCAGTTAAAAGACAGTTAAAATTCCTACTAAGCCACTTCGTCTCCAGCACCAGTTATGAGTGTCCTAGGAAATTAAGGCACGTGCTCATTGGTTAACCGCAGCTCAGCAGGGGTGGGCTCCCAAGAGTCTGGGGTTGGCCTGTCTGCAGTGCAGTCATGTATCGTGGATGTTCCAGATGCCTACACTTTATTTTTGCAATTCTTTATGTCACCAATTTATGGCACCTTTCCCTCTGGTGGCATATTTCATGCCTAGAGTTTCCCCATATTGTAAGTCAAGGTACTTTTGAGGGCAAGGCTCTTTCTTACTATGTTTTAGGTATGGTACCAGTTCAAAATATAGGTGGTGGTGAAAATACCTATCTTGAATGTTTGACTGTAAGTAGACGGATATTTTTTTCATTGTAAAATAAAAGAGGGGATGCTTGGAGGGAAACAAGAGGATTAGACAGAGGAATAGAGCAAAGTACAATGACACATATGAAAAAAAAAATGTCATAATGAGCTAGGTGGTGGTAGTGGGACACATCTTTAATCCCAGCACTCGGGAGGTAGAGGCAGGTGGATCTCAGAGTTCAAGGCCAGCCTGGTCTACAGCGTGAGTTCCAGATAGCCAGGGTCGCATAGAGAAATTCTGCCTCAAAAAATAAAAATGTCATAATGAAACATGTTAGTTTGTATGTTTAGAAATTAAAAAAGACAGACAAGGAAAACATATAAAACAATACATATTTATTGTAAAAAGACTAAATACATCTTTATTAGGAGACACAGATAAGACAAAAGCTAGTAAGACTTCCTACAGACCCATCGCTGGCATACAATAGGTTGACCTCTTTCTTTCAGGAGGAAAGAGTCTGCTTGGTAGCCTATAACAAATTGTTTATGAGGTCTGCAATACTGGTTATTTGAAAACTTCCATATTTTACATTGCTTATGAGTTTTATATAAGCAGCTTTACGCAACTTGGGCTGAATGCCCAACGTTTCAGAGCAAGGTGGGAACACACCAACTGTTAATTTAGCCGGCAACATTCTAATCGCTACAACTTAATTGTTTGTGTTAAGTGGAAGGTATTTATAAACCCTCAGGGGTCCTGGAGTAGCCAGACATATCAGCGACAGGACATTATATCTAATATATGTGCAAAGGTGGAACCAGTAATTTGTTTTCCTCCTGCTTCGTGTATTTAAAATCTGCTCAATCTGTGTTTTTCATACTGTCAATCTTTATGAATACTTTAAAGCCTAATTATAGCTTGAAAACTGATACCCAGCTATCATTTAAAAATTAAAGCTGTTTGATATCAGCGGTGTGACAGATTGATGGGTGTCCGAATGCAAGCATGATCATGGGACTATTTACTGGAGTTAGAGTAATTGGGCTCGTACCTTTCACTTTAAGTAGCACTTATACGGTGCTTATTGTCTCACAGTACTGTTACATACTTTGTTTAATCATCATAACAAGCCCACGAAGCAGGTGATATTTTAACAATGGAGAAGCAGAGACATGGAAGGGCGGGGGTTGCCAGTCCTCAAAAAAGGGTATGGGGGTCTTGATTTGTGGCGAGTCTCCGTGTTCTGTCACCCTCCTTCAGAGTCCCGACAGTGGCGTTTATAATGCATGCTGTGGGCCTGGCCATTCAGTCTATGGGCAAGAGATTGTCTCTTCATGCCCTGTTAACAAGCCACCTACCACCGGGAATCTGGAAAAATAGATTCTGGCTTCCATATGGACAGGTGTGTGTGAGTGAGTGAGTGAGTGTGTGTGTGTGTGTGAGAGAGAGAGAGAGAGAGAGAGAGAAAGAGAGAGAGAGAGAGAGAGAGAGAGAGAGAGAGAGAGAGAGAGAGAGAGGCTCTTTGTGTGTCTCTCTGGGACTCAGGCTAATAGATTGGCTACATTAACTTGGTCTCTAAAGTCTTTCTTAGCTCCACAGTTTTAGAATTTTCAGACTATCTTAAAATTCTGGAAATGGACATTCTATTACACTTCTGACTTAAAAATTGATAATTTTTTTGTTTAAATAATTGTAAAATTTGATGGAGAGGTGCACCTCTCAGACTCATGTGACATTACAAAGAAGGAAGATAACTCTTGGAAGACAAAAGGGAAGGAAAGGAAGAAGGGGCCAACACATCAAAAAATGAACATAAAAGTTTTACCTCCAAGTACATAGAAACTGAGAGTATAGATATTACAGGTTAGTAGTCCAAGAAGTCCCGAAGTTTTAAAGATAGGCATCTGCAAATGCCTCATATGTCTCCAAGGCTGTCAGGCTATCCATTGTCTTTCCTAAGAAAGGTTGCTTTTTTTTTTTTTTTTTTTTTTTTTTTGTTTGTTTGTTGGTTTCTTTTTCTTTTGTTTTGCTTTTCTTTCTGTTCCTGCCATTTTCCACAAGCGTTTCCAGCAAGCACTGTGACATCACCATCTTCTTAGGCTGATGACTGCTTAGGCTCCCAACTGATGACTACTTTCTGAGGGTACTTAGATGGCTAAGAGAGAGGTGAGATCTCCTTGTGGAATTATGTTCTATGTGATTGGCATATGTTGCTCTTGTTCGTTACCGTAGTGACTAATGAATCATGTCTACCCTTCAATTTTTTTGGTCCATCCTGATCTAGTGACTTCAAACCATTACTCCACAGATCACACCAGGGACAACGCTCAGATTACAACCCCGCCTCAACTGTCTGCTAGAATGAAGCACATTAAACAAGAAATGACCAAAAATCACCTCCAGTTTGTACGATTTGAAGCAACAGACTTGCATGGTGTCTCCAGATCGAAGAGCATCCCTGCACAGTTTTTTCAAGTGAGTTTTCCAGTTACTATGGGTGCGTTTTCATGACCATTAGCCAGCAAACACTCTTTATTCCTCATCTGCATTTTCTTGTAATCTACACAGTAATGTGAACTGAAAAGTAATAATTTGTTTTGTTATTTTCCTCGTCCCTCCCCGCATTATTGCTCCCCAAGGAGATGAACACACAATAGCAATTTCTTTACCCAATAGAAATAGGAAACTAATTAAGGCTGGTTATTTCAGTCCTTCCGCTTTGAATAATTTTACTCCGCAGAACTCTCTTTTCTTTTCATACTGCAATTATAAAGATTATATTTTATTTGACGTGAGAAAATTGCAACCCAAGACCCAAGAGCAAGCATGAAAGGTAGAAATGATTAAGTAGAGATGATTTGCTCGATTTCAGCAGTATATGAAAATACCCAATTGTCCTTAGATGACTTAATGAATATTACCTTTTGAAAATAGTGATATCAAGAAACATTGCATTTGTGGATACCTTTAAGGATTTCTCTAGGGTTGTTTTGTTTAGTTTATGTCATGTGTTTATTTTAGTGACTGATTTGTTGGGATTATTAAACATCAACTTTGTAAGGAAGGGATATCAGCCAGTACCAATCTTTATGAAAATATAAAAGCATCCTGGGAATTATAGTTATTTATTTATTTATATACATTTATGTGTATATAAAATAATCTTTTTGTACAGTTATGGCTGACCTAGACCTCATGATCCTCTTGCCTCATCTTTCTAAGTAGCTTAGATTATAGATGGGTGTCACTGGACAATTTATTTCTATACCATGTCATGTCTTTTTGCTTTAACATCATATTGTAAATTTTCTTTGTTCTGATAAAAGGAGATATTTTCAAAACAGTTTTTAAAGAATTGAAACAGTTTAAATTTCTTAATTAAAATGCTCTTTGGGAGCCAGCAAGATGGTTGAAAAGTAAATGCCATGAAGAAAATCTGAGTTCTATCTCTTGAATCTGCACAGTACATATAGAGAACTTATTCTCATAGGTTGTCTTCTTACTACCCCTCCATGCACATACATGTTCACACACATACACATATGATCAATCAATCAACCAACCAACCAATGATTTTAGAGTATTCAGTCTTGTCTGTAAATAGCCTGCGGATATTGTTTCTTTTATGTTCAATTAAGAGCTCTACATGCTAATTCTTATAAGAAAATGTGAAGTCACTATGGGCAGGACTAGAAGATACTTTACATGAATCTCCTTTAACCAGTGATAAAACACAACTGACATTTCAGACACATGCCTGAGACTTCAGCATAAGCCTGTTTGCTATAAGAACTGTTTTCTCCTAGTTCTAATAATCTATTTAACTAGAGTTACTTGAAAAGTAAACACTTAGAATACTACTCTTGTGCTCCCATGAAACATCTTTCCCAAAAATAGAGCCGATCCTTTGCCTCACATTTGCTGAGGATGATTTCATTGACATGGACAAAAATGTCCGCATTTAAAACCTCGATTGGAAGCATTCATTTTTCTCATTCAATATTCCACATAGAAAAAGGCCTTTTCTCCCCAGCTCAGCTTGGAAAGAGTTGTTTTATCCTGAGAATTTGACACAAGTCCTTTTCAATGGTTTGCTTATTCTTATCCTCCATTTTCAAATAATTCTCTTTCCTATAGCCCTAGTTCATTATTCTTTTAGCCTAATTTTATTACCATATAGCATGCATTGTTAAGCAAAACTCTTTAAATTAGTCTTGAAATTTTTGAAGATATAAGTCATAGTGTTTTTATTACAAATATTAATAATGATTTAAGGCCAAATAATTTATTTTGGATAATCTATTGTGAATGTATAAGTTCATTCCTACAAGCTAATCTGAAATATGTGTAAGCACACACACACACACACACACACACACACACACGGAATTATTTGTGAGAAATATCTTTAGCAAAAACGTGAAGCCAATAGTCTGTCTTTGGCTTTATAAGAAACAACTTAGATATTTCATTGAAAAAACTTTTTATGCGATATGATTTGATCATGCTTCACCCCTCCCAAACTCCTTCTATATCTTCCCCCACCCCACTGCCAACTCCATGCCTTTTCTTTCCCTCTTTAAAGAACAAAGCAAATAAACAAATGAAACCAAGGCATGAAGACAAGAAACCCTTTGTCTCTCTGTCTCTATCTCAGTCTCTCTCACACACACTACAAAAACTAAAACTAAAGTACACAAGCAAAAGACCAGTAAGACAGGAAAAAAAAATTACCCAAGCAAAGCAATTTGAGACAAAAAGTCGACAAAAATATCTTTGAGTTCTTTTTGTCTTGGGCATCCACTGCTTGAGATGGAGCCTACCCTGAAGTGCGGCTAATATACCTAGAGAGACTCTATTGGAGAAAACTATTTTTTCTCTGCAAGTGGGTGTCAATTTCAGTTAACTTGTTGGTCAGGGATGGGAGCCCATGCTCACTTCTCCTTCTCAGCACTGGGATTATAAGTATAAATTTAAATCATTTTTATTTATGGAAATAAAATGCTAAATTGAAATTAGTAAGCCAGACTACGAATGACTAGGAGAGATAACATAGTCTGTCTTTATTTATAGAATTAAGAAAAACTCTTTCAAACTAGAGCAGCCAGGAAACCTTAGTGCTGGGACACTAGCCTGTGACCCATCAATTAACAGTTCAATGATACCTTTTTTCCTCTGTACCTACTGCCTCCAGCCCAGCTTTAATCCTCCTTTTATCCTCTATCTGAACTCAGTGTTGCTTCCTATTTTAAATGCAAACATAAATTTTTTTTTCTAAAAACAAAAAGCCAGACCATCTGCTGAGAATAGAGGAAAAGGCTGGCATATCATTGGAAGAAGCCAAAGAGGAAACCTGTGATCTCCACTGGTTAGAAAGGCTTCCATGTGCCTGACATGGACCAAAATGTCTTACAGATAATAGCACATTCAACCTTTCAACAAACTTACAGTGTCTTAATCTATCAAAGAGCTGATTTGGTTTAAAGTATATATGGATAATGTAAGTTCTATTCCAGGTTTAATAAAAGTGTGATTATATTACTGTAGATGTCATAGCAAATTCTTCGTATGGTAGGGTTTTAACTAAATCTGCAAGAATTTCTACCAAGTTCAGAGAGATCCATCTTGAAGTATGAAGCCATTTCAATGCTTCAGTACTATACATATAATTTAAGGTAATTTATTGTCATGGACAGAGCTATTCATACAGTCACACAAAAGTTTAAATATACCCCACAGCCAATAGAGAATGGTTTAAATTCCAATGCATGTCCAAAAATGTGTAAAGAAAAAAGAATGTATGTGTACTAAAAAAAAGAGTCCTCTGAGCCTCACAGATTAAATAGCCTAAAGAATATAAAGTACTTTTTGCTATTTTTTTTTCCAGTTTGCAAAGGACTGCTGTTTTCCACGGCTCACAGCAAAAGGAATATGATACAGATTTGGACTGCGTGACCTCCCAGAGGTCTCATGAATAAAACGCTTTATCCTTCATGCTAGATACACACAGCCACCATATTGATTTTTGAATTGAAAGTAATCAAATAGGGAAATAGCATCCTTTTTTATCAGTGAAATTTGGTATTAAAATATCCCATAGAGAAATCTCACAATGTGGATGTGTGTGAACATGTTTGCGCAGGCATGTGGATATGCAGAAGGTTTATGTGTGCGACTTCAAAGAGAGTGTGTGAATCCCCTCTTTTTTGCTGGTAAAAGCAAAAAAAGAGGGGATTTTGGGGGGCTGGATAAGATGGTGCACACCCGTAATCTCAGCATTCAGGAAGCAGAGGCAAGAGGACAAGGTATTCTAGACCAACACGATGCATTCAAGGCAAGCTGGGCTTGCACGAAACCTTGTCTCAACCAGCCAACCAAAAAGGAAATCAAAAAAATAAGAGTGGGGGAGGAGCCCAGACTTAGATCAGGTAAGTCAAAGCGGTGGCACTTGAGAGTGTAGGCAAAGGTTTCACTAGGGAGCCAATCCACACAGTGCTGAAGATTTGCTGGCCGTGCACAGCAGTGACATTTGTTTGTTTGCTTGTTTCTGTGATGTTAGCAAACTAATATCACGTGTGGAGTGTTAGGATGTTTGTGCTCATTGAGTTTATGAAAGCAACTTCTGATAATCAGGGTCCTTTTCCCATTCAAGTGAAGCCTTGTTGAGATTCTTCTATAATTTCCATTTTTTAAAAAAATGTACACGTCCAGCTTTATAATTCTCTGTTGCCTAACACAAAGCCAAGTTAAATATGTGAGTAAGCCCATTGACCTAGGAGATACATTACTGGAAAGAGCCTTAGCGATTGCCTAATTGTCTGTGTATGTGTTTCTCTTGTTGGTTGTCTAGCTGAACACTTGTTTCATGGCCATGGATTCTGATCACATCATCTAGAAACTTGCTTATCTCCATTTCAACTGTTAATAAAAGAGATGTAATTAGTGGTCCGATCTGCTGACACCCGGTTCGCACTGTCACTTTGGAGATAGAGGTTCATAACCACAGAAAAGTTTTCTAGGACAACCAAGTAGCCAGCTCTTAAGAAGACTGTATGTATGAAGAGAGGGGCAAATCTCTCAGAAGTCCTGGTTCTTGGGGGCTGAGGCAGCTGTCTTGTGTTCTGTTGGTCTGACCCACGTCTCCTCTCCAACAAGGATGTAGGGTCCCTTCTGCAGAACTCTGAGTGTCAGCAGGAGGTTGCAATAGAATGAAGCACAACTGAGGCTTTACTTGTCTTGTTTTTTTTAACAGACTGATAGAATTTGATAGATTTTTTTTTTGATATTTACCTAGATGTGAGAGAGCTGAGTCACACGGTGAATCTGTTTATTATTGTACTACTCACAATAATTAGATATAGAAACAACCTAGATTAGTATTGATGAATGAAAGGATGAAGAAAATGCGACACACATATATGTATACGTATATACATATATATTGCATTATTCAGACATAAAAATTAACCCTATAATTTTCTGCAGAATTGATGAAACTGGAGCCTACATATTAAATTAAATGAAATAAGTTAGACACAGAAACAAATACTCCATTTTCTCTTTCACGTGTGGGTACTAAGATGTTGATCTAAATAGGATGGTGATTCCAAGAGGCTGGGAAAGTGGAAGGAAGAGGAACTGGAGGAAGCCTAGTTAATGAGCATGGAAACACAGGAGATGCAAGTTTTAATTCTTTGACACAGTGTAGTGAGTGTAGTTCATAATGACGTATTATATATTTTATCTGCAATTTGAGGAAAGGGAAACTATGTGATCAGGAAACATTGTTTACATGTATGACACGATCACAATATACCTCTTAAATACATAAAGTATACCATAAAACAAGTCAAAGGAAATACATATGTAATACAATACCATAAAACAAGTCAAAGGAAAGCCTTACCTGAGTTCTTAGAAACTGTACTATAAAATAAAATGCCTTGTAAAATATTTTTGACTATAATAATTGTAAGTATTCCCAGAAAGTAATAAACCCTTGTATTTTGCTACATTGTACCATCCTTAAAGCATTTATTTGTGGCTACATGAAGAATTTATTATTGCTGTTTCCCACATCTAAGATATCAAGGCTTACATTAAAATATTAAAAAATTGTTTATAAAAATGTCTTTATGAAAAAATAGTTCTTTCAGAGTTGAATTTTTGGATATATCTTCTGAATTTTAAAATGTTTATCTGAGAGTTAATATTAAATCACAAATACAAGGCTTACATTTCTTATTACCAAGGTTTTCCTCCCTGTTTTGTTTGTCTTCACATTTCAGAGCCTCTCCTTTTTCTTCTTCAGGAAAAAGTGATCCACGGTGTTTTCATGCCCCGCGGTTATCTGGAATTGATGCCAAACCCGAAGGACAATGAGGTGAATCACATAAGAGCCACATGCTTCAATAGCGACATAGTCCTCATTCCCGAGCTGTCAACCTTCAGAGTCCTGCCATGGGCGGAGAGGACGGCGCGTGTGATTTGTGACACCTTCACGGTGACTGGAGAGCCTCTGCCGACTTCCCCCAGGTACATCGCCAAGAGGCAGCTGCGCCAGCTGCAGGACGCCGGCTTCTCTCTCCTGTCTGCCTTCATTTATGATTTCTGCATTTTTGGTGTGCCCGAAGTGATCAATTCGAAGACCGTATCTTTTCCTGCCTCGACATTACTGAGTAACCATGATCAGCCCTTCATGCAGGAGCTGGTGGACGGCCTGTATCACACCGGGGCCAATGTGGAGAGCTTCTCGTCTTCTACCAGGCCTGGGCAGATGGAGATCTGTTTCTTCCCTGAATTTGGCATTAACTCAGCCGATAACGCATTCACCCTCAGAACAGGTGTCAAAGAAGTGGCCAGAAGATATAATTATATAGCAAGCCTTGTAATCGAGACCGGATTCTGCAATTCAGGAGTTTTTTCTCACAGTGTTTGGGATGCCGGTGGAAAGACAAACATGTTTTGCAGTGGTTCTGGGTGGGAGCGGCTCACACTCCCCGGGAAGAAGTGGTTGGCAGGCCTCCTGAAGCACTCCGCGGCTCTCAGCTGCCTGATGGCCCCAGCTGTCAGCTGCCGCAAGCGCTACTGCAAGGACAGCAGAGACCCGAAGGACAGCGTGCCCGCCACGTGGGGTTACAACGACAACAGCTGTGCCTTGAACATCAAGTGTCATGGTGAAAAAGGCACCCAGATAGAAAATAAGTTAGGTTCGGCAACCGCGAACCCTTACCTGGTGCTGGCCGCCACGGTTGCTGCAGGCTTGGATGGACTTCAGATCACCGATAGTGCCTGGGCTGGCTCAGATGAAAGCCAGGATCTTTATCAGCCAGAACCTTCCGAGATCCCTTTGAAGATGGAAGATGCGCTCACCGCCCTGGAGCAGGATCAGTGTCTGAAGCAGGCTCTGGGAGAGACTTTCATTCGCTATTTTGTTGCCATGAAGAAGTATGAATTGGAAAATGAAGAAACAGACGCAGAGGGAAATAAATTCCTAGAGTATTTTATATAGGGTGGAACTCTTGACTTTGGAGATGTTATTGTGACAAGTAGCTAATCTATCAGAAAGAAAAGATTGAGCCTTTGTAATTAACAATACTAGACAGGCTTCTGTTCCTCCCCCCCTCCATCATTGAACAGATGAAATGGGACTGTCGAGTTTCTGATCTCAGATACAAACAATAAATTTGTGGTGAAGCAGCTTATGCAGACTTACTCAGCCCAACAGTCTGTCATTTCCTTTGTGTTGTTAGCCTGGGCAGTGTTTGGCGGCATACCGCGTACCCATGTGTTAGAGAAAGGGGTAAAAACAAAAGAAGGAATAGGATCAAATATAGACACAGGCTTGCCTGCCTGGGAGACAGATAACATGAGTAAAGTCTTATTAATGAAGACATCTTGAGGTCACTACCATAGGTTTAAACATGCCGAGTTGCACAAAGAAGGGCATGGCAGGGCATCACACTTCTCTATCTCCACTTTAAGGACTCATGGGTTTCAAGGCTGCAATGTTCCCCTAGAATCAAATGACAGGACAAAGAATCGGGTAACACTGAGGTAGAAGGCTTTCTTTAAACAATGCAGGATGCAGGGAGGGTGAAAGGGGCCTGGACCGCTCAGCAGCTTTGCTCGGTTCTTGGAAAGCAGACATCCCTAGGAAACAAGCAGACATCCCTAGGAAACACCTCTGCTGCATAGACTGGGAATGAGTGCCTACATAGCCCAGGCTCTGCCTGCAGCTTCAATACACACTTAAATTACTGATTACACTGCCACGGAGGCTGGTGTTTCTCCAGGGACTGAAAAAATGTTCCCGGCCCCTTTTTTGACTGTGATAATATTGCAGCTTATCACTGAAATTTAGCGTCTCTTGGGAACAAGTCCAATATATACTTACTTGCAAATGAAAACACTGTTCCACTGCTTAGGATCAAATAGGAGATTTTATGTTCAATTAAAACTGGCTGTGGTCTCAATTTAGATGGCACACACTTAAGGAGAACACTAGAATTTAGCTTCACTCCTCCGGTTAAAGTTCTTAGCATCCAGTGAGTGGCGAGAGTCAGTGCGCCCTTCACTAATTGTTAGCTTGTTTTCACCTTCTAGCAGGTGACACGTTTGGAAACAGAATAAAATCCACAGATGGAATAAAGGTTAGAGGGAATTAACACATGGTGAGAAAGAAGGGAAGCTTAGTTGTAGTGAGATATTCACTTTGTCTGCATCTGTGGCGCTGACCACGCCCATTGGGGGTGGAGACAGGGGCGGAAGTGACCTGGGGGAACTAGGTCTGAGGAGGAGTCCGGGAGCGCAGGCAGGATGGGAAGAGGAGAGCATCTGGAGGCATCCTTGGAACCAGGAACCTGCTGGTGGTCATCTGTCTATGTTGTGAGTTATTTCTCCCTGAATAAACACCTATTCGGCCTATTTGTTTATCCTGACACCACGATATCTGATGTCAGAAGTGGGATTCGAACCCATGCCTCCAAGGGAGACTGTGAGAGGCAGGAGGATCATGAGTTTGAGGCCAGCCTGGGCTACACATTCTGTTTTCAGTAATAGACGTTCAATGGGAAGGTATAATGAAAACCTGAGTGATTTTACAGAGCCTCCATTATGTTGACTGTGTTGCTGTTAAGTTCAGCCAGAGACTAAGCTGAAGCAGTCTATGCAAGCTTGAGCTAATTTCCATGGAGGACAATAGCAGGTATTTTACCTTTTCCTCTCTGTTTTTACCCTTCCTGCTGACTGACCCCTAGAAGATGAGGGTAGCCAATTTCTTCTAGAAGGCAGGGTAATTGAAATATTTGCAACAAAGTACAGTGTTTCTTGATTGTTCCTGTGTGTGTGTGTTAAGGAGTGAGGGGAGGATAAAAGATAAAGATAAAAGGTCCAGTGAAAGACAACATTTCATTTCTGAGGTTGGGGTGGGGATCTGAGTTAATTAGAGGGATCCACTCATGCAAAAAATTGTATTATTTCTCATTCTAAGAGAGCTGTACAGAATCTTTTTTATAAGTTCACGCGCCTTAATGAAACTTGTCTAGTGTTTTTCTTGGTTTTACTACTATGACTATAAGATGCTATGAAAACTTTATTCAGCCTTTATTTTATCATCTTTATAACATTATCAGCATAATTTTAAAAGTACAGTATGCAAGGTCTCATTGTGATGGCGTTACATAATTGGGAAAGTTATCAGTCTAAGTATATGGTAGTTAATCAGCACACAACATTCAGCAATATAGTATAAGTTAGTTTTAGAGCATGTGCTGGTATGACAGCTTCCATAGAGACTCACATTAGATGTGTGCAATTTTATACTTATGTTTATTAAAAAAAGTCAAAAGTGGGCATTGGCCAGCACAGTTTAGGACTAAAAACTTGGGGCAGGTAATGTAAACTTTAATTAACCCCCTTTTTATTCTTTGGTCTTCTCCACTTCCTACTGTGGAGTGAGGGATGCTGATGTTCAGCTATAGGCTCTGCATTCTTTGTCTGCAGGGAGAGATCACAAATCCATTCAGTAGCATGTGTTGATCATCCTTTTGTGTAATAAGCTATTTACAGTCCTAAGGGAGACTAGGGCAAAGACAATGGGTGATGGGTGGGCCATCTGCATGTTTTAAAGAGAATGGAAGTTTTGTTTTGTTTTTTCTTTCTTTCTTTCTTTCTTTCTTTCTTTTTTTTTTTTTACAGGCCTTATGCTGCGGGGAAAAAGCCTATTTATAAGGCTGCTTTTATGGCTTGAAAAGGATGCATTTTGAATCTCTTTACAGAAATTGCTTTCTTATTTTCATTTACCATAATTGTTCTAATCAAAGCTTACGGGAAAATGTGATTACTGAATTTAAAGTTGGTTATTAAATGAGTATACATACGAATCTAAATTAAAAACTATGCTTCAAGAGGAAAAACTAAAACATTAGTAGCATAATAAAAAGTTACTGTTTTAAAGGATATTTTATAATATAAAATTTCATTTTATATTGTCTGAATTACAGTAAAGCTTGAAATGGTAATTTTGAAGATAATGAAAGATCTAAAACTTCCATATAAATAAAACTTGAAGTCACACAGTACATTCTGAATGTGTTGGTAACACAGAGCAGTTAGATGTCTCCTGAGGTACCTTCAGTCACCTGGTACCCAGAGCAGTACTGCTGATGTTCATGATGTAGGGCTATTGTTCAGATGCAGGGCTATTGGTTGGAATCATCAGTAGAGGGTTCCCTGTTCCTGGTGTTAGAACATCTGTCTCTAAACATCTTATATGTTAACAATGATTCCTTTCCCTGTTGCCTGAAACAGACTTCACATAACATTTCCTGATTAGGATGTGGAATCTGAGAATGAAGAACACACATCTTTCCATATCGGTCTCTATAGATCTTATTCCTCGAGTGAGTTCTAGACTAGTAGATGTCAATTAGATCATAAAGAAAACCACACTGTAGTATTGTCCCAGACCCATGTGATGTGTACATCCCTATGCCCAGAGACAGTGAGCAAGCAGCCACACACACGACTAAGAGAAGCAGTGATTTATGGTTTTATTGTCCCTAGGATATATTTTTCTTTAGAACCATTCTGTTTCTGGAAACTGTTGAGGAAACTAAATTTGATTAGCTTGATGGAGATTGTATTAAGCGGTTAGAGGGGGAATGGATTTGGGCACAAGGGAACTTTCAATGGTTTTCATACTTTGTGCAATGTCTCCTTGTCAATTCTGCCTCTCAGAATAGAAACCAGAACCTCAACTTTTCAGTTTCTCTTACAGCCATTTGAGGTGCAGACATGGAACCCATGTGAACTCCACAGTAAGTGGGCTCCAGTGAGGCAAAAGTGACAGGCGGCGGGGTGTTCGGAGCCTGTGGTGGCAACACCAGGTGGTGCCGTGGTCCAGTGATGGTTTCTGTGCTCTCTCTGGAGCATCAAGCATAACTTCCAAACCCGCGCCCCTGGGCCTTGCAGGTCCTGTGAATTATTGAATATATTAAAGGATGGATTCCTTGCTATTTAAAGTATCTCTCATATATATGCTGAAACAGTTTCTAAAAGGAGGTGCAAGCGCAAGTAACGCTCATTAATCAGAAGACAGGGAAAAAATTTAATGCTTACACTAGATTCAGAATAAACGAAGGTCTATTAGTTCTGAGGGTATAACATTCATCATCTAGGTGAGTCATCCTTTATTGGCCCTACACTTTTATAAGAAATGCATGTGTATGTGTTTGGAGTCAGAGATGTAGGGCTCCAAGGAGGGAGGGTTGGAAGAATTGGAACCGAATCCTCATGTCCATTCTGTGTTTCTTGGTCTCTGTGCTATTCCAAAATGCCATTGACTATACAGTTTAAGCAGCACTGAAAATTATCCCGAGGGTTGTATGTCAGTTTTAAGGTCCTAATCATCACACGTAGGCAGATACTTAAACACCTGGACTTTTTCTTTTTAATATGCACCCCAGCAGCTCAATGAAACATCCCCTGGATTTCATCAAGACACTTGACCACAAATGAAGTGGGACTTCTCAGCGAGTTACTCTCCCTAGTGACCCTCTCGGAACAGCATGCTATGAAAACAGTTCAGACACCTCTCAAAGACTAGAAATTCATGCCTCAAGTAAATGTATAACATAAAATTGCCTTGCTGAAATTTCTTGCAAGTTTTAGGATTCAATTTCAATTATGTTTTCATCATTAGAAATAATCTTCAACAAATACCCAGTACTCATTAAGAGCATAAATGATCTGAATCTTCTGCCTGGCTGTTTAAGGAGTGATATATGAGACTATTTACCAAGGGACCAACCAAACGGCTCAGTAAAGGCATTTGCCGCCGAGGTTGACAACACAAGCTTGACTTTCACAACCCACATGGAGGAAGGAGAGAACAGGCTGTCATATAGTGTTAGGTTATTCTCTGATTTCCAGGTGAGCCAGGAAATGTGTGCCACTGCTTTTTTCCAAAACAAGCAAGCAAGCAAGCAAGCAAGCAAGCAAGCAAGCAAGCCAGCCAGCCAGCCAGCCAGCCAGCCAGCCAGCCAGCCAGCAAGCAAGCAAGCAAGCAAAAATGTGAGAAATTAAAAAAACAAAACAAAAAAATTCATGGAATTTCAATTATAGTCTAAATGAAGGGGGAAGGTAAAGTCAGGGGTGGGGGAATAGAGGGGCTGCCACCCAACAAAACATCTAGGGGAGGACACAGAGTTTCAATAATAGCTTAAAGGAAGAGAGAACATGTAAATTAAAGTAAGTAAGT